TCAAGGTTTGCTTTTTGGAATTTATATTTTAATATTTTTAGTCATGGATGAGTGAATCCATGGATAAAGAATCCATGGATATGGAGGGCTGACTGTACTGTCTTAGAAACAACTTAATTACAAATGTCGTTGACATTAATTTTGACCACTGTAGGGTCAAATGTATTATTGGTTGGGTTCTTTCTCTTTTACTGGTTCAACAGGCTTCTCATTGGAGGCAGAGCTTTTACCATCTTATGCTTCCAATGCACTGTGTTCATTAAATTCTCCAAATTTCATGTCCAACTACATGAAGAACTCACTGCTCAGGAAAGCTAAAAGACTATCTTTATATTATATTGATCTCTCTGCAGTTGGTGCCAAGCTTTACATTTTCCATTCTAAATATCATAGTTTTTTAGAGCACTGCTGCTCAAAGTGGTGGTCCTTGGACCAGGACCAGGATCAGTCCACAAGCCATTAGCTGTCAGTCTGCATAGTTTTCAAAGAAGGAAACGAAACAATAATTGCCAATGGGCACAAATATGGAATTGGTCCTTTGTACATGGGAAGAGGGGGGAATTTGCCAGCCCTCCACATTGGCTTGCAAAACATTGTTTTAGAAAATATTTCCATATCACCTAGTCAGGACTTTAACTTATACAGCTCACATGGTACACTGCTTGGCACACAAGACAGTTGCTTTGTGATGTGATTACAACAGTTCTTTATTTTGGAGCAATGGTATTTTTCAGTGTTTAAAAATTCTACAAGGGAAGGTGATGCTACAGTCTCTAAGACTCCAGCATCCCATATGGCGATACTGTCCTCCTAAGACTATTTACGTCAGTCTAACAGAGGGTCAACTTTGTTTAGCTAAGCCAGAAGCTCAGGGAGTTGAGCTTGCAGCAGGATCTGTTTGTGTGAGCCTGTTCCACATCATAACTCTATGAAAGTCATTCTTGGAAAGCTACCTTTATCACATGGCTTGTGCACTAGAGCAGACATGCAATGAAAGTAGAGAGGAAAATAAGAGAGAGCTCACTCTGGACCCTTCTTATAAATATAGTGGAGTGAAACTGGAGAAAAGGGGCCAGTTAAACTGCTTTTTCACAGAATCCTGAGCAAGCCATATAGCTTGATAACCTTGAAAATTTGCAAGAGTGTAGTTTGGGTCTCCATAAAACAAGCATCCATATGCTTCAGTTTGTGGGTATACCACTGGCCCCAGCCCTAATCATTTGTCTCACCAAAATTCTCGGTATTCTGTTTTCACTAAAGATGACATTGAATCTCAAACACATAGCCTTTTCCCAGCCATGATGGTCAATATTTTACATACTTCTGTGTGAAACATAACAACCTAATTCAAGGTAACACAAGCCTTAAAGTGATTGTTTAAACCACCAATGTGCAATCCGTGTGGTAAAGAGCAGGTTAAATTGATTATTTCTGCTTCTTTGGTCAAACTTAACCTGGGTATAAAATATATTAGGGATAGCTGTGTCAGCCATATAATAAAGTATAATAACATCCCAAATCTACAAAACAGTTGTGCTTTTATTCAGCCAACTAAAATGCATAAAATGTAACTTTGAGAGGCTATGTGGGATCTGCTCACATAGGGCCCTCAGAGTTGTGCACACATGCATGAGTCTAAGCGACAGATAGTAGTATGGCTCCCAGCATCACACCAGTCCTCATAAACCATCTAGGTATCCCCATAAAGTGAGTGAGGAGGCCCATCATTAATCCTATAGTCAACCCTGTCCAGGTTAATACAGCAGTGGGTTTGAAGAAGCCAGGTTCATTCTGACACTCTTGCCGCAAGACTGGAGCTCACTGGAAAGATAAGTACCATTAATACGCTATACAAATCCATTGAAAAAATGCCCACAGCCTTCCAGAATCCAGTCCCCAAGGCAAGTGAAGGATCTGCCGAAACAATTCCCCACTATTTAGATGCTATATGAGATGGCAGTGTGATAACTATATCGTACAGCCTCATGTACTGCACAAACAGTGCAGACAGAAGGTAACACATGCACAGCTTCTTACTCAGTCCTCACTCTCTGCATTAGATTCCCAAAGCTAGGAGGAAGAAAAGGTGCTACGACTGTGATTTTCAATAACACCAGAATAATGTTCAGAATAACGTTCAGAATAACACCAGAAACAACCAGCTTTCTGTTTCCAATAAGGACCAGTGAAAAGTTTGCAAGATACTCACAAACAGGACATGAACCACATATTGTGTCAGTTAATTTCAACTTCCATGATGCTCCTGAAATTTGTTGTGTCAGCAAATGGCAAATGGCTACTGATCTCTTGGAGTCGCTTTGTCACATTCTGTGCATACAGAGCAACAATGATATGCAAGAAGCCGTGCCTCCATGCCCTGCATGTATTGCAAGTCATCTTAGAAATTCCTCCAGAATGTATTAGAAAATGCAAGGGATTCCTGGACATCATATTGTGGTCTGTGTGGATATCCAGTCAAACTATTGGACTTAGACATTGTTTTGAGAAACTAGAACCTGCTCTAGAATAGTGCTACTCAAAATGGCCATAGACAGATGCTGTGAGATGACTGCTGCCAGTCTCTGGAGAGCTTCCAGGAAAGAAAGAAAGAAAGAAAGAAAGAAAGAAAGAAAGAAAGAAAGAAAGAAAGAAAGAAAGAAAGAAAGAAAGAAAGAAAGAAAGAAAGAAAGAAAGAATTATAGTGAATGGGCACAAATATGGCACTGGTCCCTGGCAAACTGGGGAAGGGAGATGTATCCCATATCAAATAGTTTAAGATGTACCAGTCTTGAACTACACCATTTAGTTGACTTGCACAAAAATGTGCCCACTATTTCTCAGTTCCTTATCAATGAACATCTAGTGGGCCTTCACATGAAACATTCTGAAAATCATGAAAATCTAATTGTCATCAGGTTGGAATCCTTGGTTGCTCACCATCTGCTTGAAAGTGTCAAGAAACAAACCATCTGGATAAGAAACACTATCTATATACAGATAAGGCAACCTGAAGTCTCCCCTGCTATTGCTATTGAGTTCATGATAGTTTTCACTCATCTTTACAAAATGAGGTGATAAAATCTGACACTGTAATTTTTTGTTGGTGGCAAAATAATAATAATAATAATAATAATAATAATAATAATAATAATGACAGCAATATGTGATTGTTGTTATTGTTGTTGCTAATAATAATAATAATAATAATAATAATAATAATAATAATAATAATACTGACAGCAATATGTGATTGTTGTTATTGTTGTTGCTAATAATAATAATAATAATAATAATAATAATAATTTTATTTCTATTCCACCTTTTTCCCGGATTGGGACTCAAAGCAGCTCACAATGATTAAAAAAAATTGTTAAGCATCCACAATTATACAATTAAAAAATTAAACCAGGTTAAAACATATATAATTAAAACACATACACATCAGTACAACATTTAGCAATATTCAATGCATTGTGTAAAATGAGCCTTATATCATCACTCATCAAATACCAGTTGGAATGGAAAAGTCTTTGCTTATTTCTGAAAAGAAAGTAGGGAGAGTGTCAGTCTAATTTCTTTGGGAAAGGTGTTCTAGATCCTGAGGGCAGCCACTGAGAAGGCCCTCTCCCATATTCCTACCAGATATACAGTTGACCCTCCAGAGATTGTTTTATTTATGGGTTCAAGCAAGCATCCACAGCTTGAAAATATTCCAAAAAAGTTTTTAAAAATCCAATAGCAAACCGTGATTTTACCATTTTATAAAAGAGAAACCATTTTACTATGCAATTGTATTTAATCAACTTCAGCATCCACAGATTTTGGTATCTACGGGGGGTCTTGGAACCAAAGCCCAGTGGATATCAAGGGACCACTGTACCTGCAAGGAAGGGGGGGAGAGAAAAGGCTCCCCAAAGCATAGGCTGGTTCATAAGGGAGAATACAGTACTTCAAATAACCTGGACCTGAGCCAAATTCCCAAAATAGTAGCAGTATGAAAATTAGTGGCAAGATAGCTACAGGTTAACTAGTCATCATAAGTCCCTAATTGTTTTTTCAACATTTAAAATTACATTCTTTGACTTTAGTTCTTTTCAAATGAAACTGTTCAGTTCATCCAGTTCTTTTAACATAGTGTCCCCTTCCTTAGGGACTATGGCCCCTGACACCAGTGCAGCTATTGGTGCATCAACTAATGGGGTCTTTAGAAATTCTGCATCGGTATTATCAAATGAATATATTTTATTTACTAATCCTAATAATTTTGTGATGATAATTTTCATGATGATAAAGCTGATGCCCATTTGGCTTATGGCCTTTTCTCAAGTTTGTCCATATTAACTATAAACTCTATACTGTATTTTTAATTATTATTTTGTTACTTCCAAATTCTAAGAAGTCACATTAGCATAGCAGTGCATTACTTGTATTTGGAATCACATTTCAGTTGATATCTCTGTTTATCATTATATTGTTATCCACACATGTGTTAATTTTGTTTTGTTTTGCTTTTCAGAATGCAAAAACAGTCTTGCTTAAAACTGCTTTTTCACCCTTTAAAAAATAAAAGAGGAAGTTTATTCTATAAACATTCCCAAAGTTACCCAGTGGGTTTCCATGGCTGAGTAAGGATTTGAACCCTGGTCTCCCAGAGTCCTAATCCAGCACTCAAACCACTACACCACAGTGGTTTGCCTATTCATATTTATTACACTTTAAATGGAAATACATTTCACCACAGTGGTGAATACTGTGACCAGGTGATCTGCACGCCTGCTCAGTCTGCTGCCCAAATGCCAGCTGTGGGTTACCAATTTCAAGTCTCCTGCTCTCCTTTCTTTATTTTCAAAGACTTTGAATAAACAGCTCTTCAAGCCAAGGAAGCTTTTAAAAGTCTGAATGACTTCTGATAGTCCTTCCAATAGAGCAAGAGATGCCTCAAACCATGCACAAGATGTGAATTGTATCAGATCATTCACGTGGAATTGTTACTCTATTGGGATCCAGCATGGCGTAGTGGTTTGAGCATTGGACTAGGACTCTGGAGACAAGGGTTCGATTCCCCACTTGACCATGAAACCCACTGGGTGACCTTGGGCAAGCCACATGTTCTCAGCCTCAGGGGAAGGTAATAGCAAACCTCCTTTGAACAAATCTTTCCAAGTAACCCCCATGATAAGGTCACCTTAGGGTTGCCATAAGTCGAAAATGATTTGAAAGCATACAACAACAACAATATTTATGCCATTTGAGGTGTCATAATATAACATTTGGAAATGGTACATTTTCCTTTAAAAGTAAACCAGGGGTATCCAGGGATGGGCGGGGGGTTGGGGGAGACAACATTCTGCAAATGTCTTTCTCTAATTTTCTAAAACCCAGAAATCAGCATTTCACCCATTAAAAAAAAGCAAAATGCTACCTTGCACCATTGTGTACCATCCCAGAAGAAAGTGGGAATATAAATAAAACAAAAATAAATAAGTAAATAAATTGGTTTTGAATGCATTAAGTAAAGTTTCAATTGATTTTGCCCAAGAACTGTTATTCTGCAAAGGCAGCACAAAGACCAAGGTTTGCAAAGGACATCAAATCAAATCAAGGTTTGCAAAGGATATGTTACTGGAATAGGATTTGAGTTTAGAGTCACTGACTCTCAATCGGCCTGATTTGACCTACAGTAAGTAGTTAGTCAATATTTTCATTATTATCACCATTTTTTTTTATTGTAGGAAGCCATTTAAAGTTTGTTTTTGCTTTCCTGAGGCACCACCATCTTTTTATAGTTCTTATAGTTTTATAGTCTTTGATAGAGCAAGCTGAGAATTATTGTTCTGTGTCAGATGTAAGAAGTACAAAGAGGTTATATCTTTAAAAATACTGATTAACAACCATAAATGTTATATAGTACACACAAAACATTAAGCAAGAGGTCAAGGAATGGAAAGGGGATTAAAGATGCCAAAAGTTGCCAAAGTTTTCAACCATTCTTTTCTACAGCGATACAGTGGATAATAACTTTTGTAGGACAAGCTCTAAATGCAGAGGATGGATGAATGGATGGACGGACGGACAGATAGACATTTGGTTTTGCCTCCCAATATTTATGATAGCCTGCATAATGTAAAATTTTGGGTGTTGGACTATGACTGTAGAGACCACAGTCCAAATCTGTGCTTCGTATGGAAACCCACTGGGTGTCCTTGGGCACAACACACTGTCTCAGCCATAGAGGAAGGCAAAGGCAAACCACTTCTGAACAAATCTTGTAAGGAAAACCCCATGATTTCACACTGCACCTGACAATCACAATAAGTCAGAAACAACTTGAAGGCACACAACAGCAACCAATTTACATTATGCTGCCATTTCAGATGACGCTCGGAAGTTGAATTCACACACTCAAGATTTCAAAAACAAAACCCAAGGTAGTCATAGAGGATTTTGGCATATCCTTGCATTTAGTGTATTCTCAGAAGTTATGTGGAGATTATGGCCTTAACAAAAGGCAAATTCATGAGGTGATAACAAGAAAAAGAATTAGCTAAGAATTAAACATTCAGAATCAGAAAGATGTCTTAAATTCACAGACCATTTTACTTGCTTTGCATTAGAAATAAAATGACATTTGTTTTAGGTAGTTTACATACTGTAAAAATGGGCACTATCCTGAAACCTGGTGGTCACATCACAAAAAGACTATACACTATGCATTAATTCTCAGTTAAGCCAAACTGTAAACTTCCAATGGAAAGAGACATCAGTTTAGCAAATACTTTATGTAACCTCAGCATTGGTTACATTACATAAAACATAAAACCAAAATAGAAGAGCTAAAATTAAGTGCTTGGAGGTCCTTCAATGCTGAGGGAGTAAATTGTCATTTATATATGGCATAGTCCAGCTCTGACAAAATCTTCAAGTAAAACTACCTTGAGATCTTTGTGTTATTAATTTATGAATGTCTTTTTTCCACTTAAGAACAGCCATACCATAGGTATTTAGCTGAGCATTCTGTTCCCACAGAGGCTCACCTGATGCCTCTGGGAGCCCAAAAAGAGAAGTGAAGGCATCCATACCCTGCTCTTCATGTACCCCAGTAACTGATATATAGAGACACACCTTCTTTGATACTAAAAAAGGTCATGTTTCGCCATCATAACTAGGAGTTATTGATAGCATTACCCTCCATTAATTTCTCCAGTTGCCTTTAAATCTGTCCAAATAGGTAGACATCATTACATTTTGTAGTTGTTGTTGTGTGCCTTCAAGTTGTTTCCAACTTATGGCAACCCTATCACAAGGTTTTCTTGGCAAGATTTGATCAGAGGAGTTTGGCATCACTTTCTCCTGAGGCTGAGAGCATGTGACTTGCCCAAGATCACTCAGTGGATTTCATGGACAAGCTGGAAATCGAACCCTGGTCTCCAGAATCGCAGTCCAAAACACAAACCACTATGCCACACTGGTTTTTATTTTGCAGTTACATACTCCACAGCTCACCTAGGTGAAGAATTTCTTCCTTTTCTCTACCCTGAATCTCCCACCTTTTAGCTTCATCAGTTGATCTCGGCTTCCAGCATTATGACAGAGGGAGAAGTCTATCTCCTTTTCCCACACTATTAATAAATTATACACCAGGCAATGGTAAACTTCCTCTGAATGAATCTTGCCAAGGAAACATGATGATAGGGTCACCATAAGTAAGAGTCAATCTGAAGGCATACAACAACAAATCATGTGCCCCTTGCTCACCTTTTATATCAGTGCAAAATATCTCCAAATGTGTAACCTTTTCTCATAAAAGAATTATTCCTGTCCCTTGATAATTTTGATTGCTCCATCCTAGACCTGTTCCAGATGAACAGGATCAGCAATTTTGAGATGTGGTGACTAGAACTAAACTCAGCATTCCAAGTGTGTTCATACCATAGGATTGTATAAACCCATTATGATATTATCAGTTGTACTTTTGAAATTAATACTCTGCTTCATCTTCAAGAAATTCAGAGCATCTTAATTTTGGTTTTCAGCTCACGTTTTCTTCTTTTTATCCAGGCAGTTTGCAGGCCAAAGCCTCCTTTATTTTAGCAGTTTTTTTTTCAAGGAAAAACAAAAGATTCCTATGTTCTCTGACCATGGTCTAAAAATATGCAATGGTGATTACAGCAAGCTGAAGTATTAATGAGTGTCTAGGGATGACAATTTTAATTTGAATCCTTTATTTTGCACAAATCATCTCTATTTAGAAGTCCCTAGACACTGCACTGATGTGGTTTACACCCAAGGAAATGTGCAGAGGACAATCTTAAATTAACAGCTGTTTGGAAGATTTCCCACTCAGGAACATTAGAGAAAGAGAGAGAGAGAAAAAGAGATTTACCTGTTGTACAGGTGATGTGAATAATGATGAGTATTGTAAAAAGCATCCTGAAGATCATGTTGTTACAAGATGAGTCTGAACATCTTAATTCCACACATACAGAGCAGCAGACCACAATGAGGCAAAAGTAAATCAACCTCTTCAGTCAAGAGTCAACCATCACAGATTTAAGTTCTCATCTTCAATAACATACAACATGCAGAAGCATGAAACCACTCTCTCGCAAACAGGAAACTGAGCTCTTTGATGACTTTACCATTTTATCTTTGTTTATTCATCTTTTCTTCTACACGTTGACTTCCTTTCACATTTCCAGATCAGTTAGCACACTTGTAGCCTACAATCTGAGCTGAACATCCCAGGAAGAAAATGCCATCCCCTTCTAATCACAATGAATGAGAGTGGGTTTAGATGCTAAAGGGACAATACCAGGACCTAAGTGGGGGTGGGGGATCTAGTGCCTTTAGGGTAACACTTGGATAGGATACCACCAATGTAGTCTATATTTCAGAAGAAGGTCCTTTAATCCAAAGGGTGAAATTCAAAGCCAGCCAGCCAGCGCTAATGCTTCATAGGCATTGCTTCCCCCAGCTATTTCTACGTTCTAAGCCGAACCCCCTCTTCTTATAAGAGTTGTTGTGTCTTCAAGTTATTTCTGATTTGTGAAAGGAGCGCTATTTTAGCGCTCCTTTCAGGGACGGGGAAGGAGCGCTGAGGGATCGAGGCTTGGGGATGCCTCGGTCCTGCGGCGCACCTTCCCAGGACGGCCCTGTGCCACCAGTCTGCTTCCCCCCTTACTCTGCCTGAGACTACACGAAAGCCAAGTTGTTGGTAACAAAGAAGTACCAGCTCTATGTACCAGCTCTTATAGTACTATAGTACTTAAGAACAGAGCCTGCAGAATGCTTGCCTTTTGTTTTACCTCTCTGTATATTTCTTTGGTCTACCTAGTCAAGCCTTTTGTTTCCTTCCTACCTTTTGAGATCATGCTGCCTTTGTCTGGGAAGGAGTATCCATGGGGCTCTAAAACTAATAGTGCAGCGGTCGGCAAACTACAGCCCCTGGGCCGAACCCAGCCCGTCAAGGCCTTGTAACCGGCCTGTGGCCAGTCCTGCCGCCACTGCTGCGCATGCAATGCAGGCGCCATTCTGCGTTCCAAAATGGCACCCATGCTCACGCATGCATGCGTACGATGGTGGAAGCCATTTTGCAATGCAAAACGGCGCCAGCGTCATGCGGATGCATTTTGCATTGCACCCGCCATTGCACCCACCATCGTCAGCATGCGTGCGCAAGTGCGGGCGCCATTTGGAAAGCAAAATGAAGCCCCGCACTCGTGCACGCATGTGCAATTTTGCATTGCACCCGCCATCGTCAGCATGCGTGCGCAAGTGCGGGCACCATTTTGGAAAGCAAAATGAAGCCCCGCACTCGTGCACGCATGTGCACAATGGCAGGAGCAGTGAGCATGCGTGCGCGAGTGCGCACCTCCAGCACCATTTTTCCCCCCTTCGGCCCGCCAACAATCGGGGGACAGCGGAACCGGCCCCACCCCCAAGGTATGCCAACCCTTGCAATAGTGTCTGCTAGCTTCTCCCCACACATGAGAACCAACCTTTTAGGAGCTCTTGCAACCAAGTTCAGGCCAGCTTCTTTTGTCTATCTCCTTTTCTATACAAAAATGGATTTCCAAACACAGTAAACACAAGGCTTCTTTCTTTTTACCTTACAAGAATACCCTGAGTAATTACTTCTGTTTGTACTACATGTTCCAGTTGCACTAGCCCTGCTAACTCTACTTAACATAAATAACAAATACAAAGTTGCCCTTCTGTTTTTGTGGACTTTTGTGGACATTTCTATACTGCTTATCAGTGCACTTAAGCACTCCCTAAGTGGTTCACAATGTGTAAGCTAATTGCCCACAACAAGCTGGGTACTCATTTTAGCTACCTCAGAAGGATGCCAGGCTGAGTTGACCCTGGAGCCCATGGCTAGTATTGAACCTTGAGTTGTGAGTGAGTGAGTGGCTGCAGTACTGGCATTTAACCACTGTGCCACCAGGACAATACAAAGGCAGGACACTCAAAGACAGTTCTTGTCGACTTTATGACTAAGATATGCACAGAGGTCTGAAAAGTTACATTTAAACTAGTTGCAGTTGTTAGCTACCTTCAAGTTGACTTCGACTCATGGTGACCCTGTGAATGAGACATCTCCATGACCCCCTATTCTCAACCTTTCTGTCCAGATCTTGTAGATTCAGGCCTGTGATCTCCCTAATTGAGTTTAGCCCTCTGGTATGGGGTCTTCCTCTCTTTTTAATGCCCTCTACCTTCCCTAGCATCATTGTCTTTTCTAATACCTCAGGCCTTCTCACAATATGGCCAAAGTATGATAGCCTCAATTTAATCATCTTGGCTTCCAGGAAGAGTTCAGGCTAGATCTCCATTTGTTTGTCTTTTTGGTCATCCATGGTATCCTCAGCACTCTTCTCCAGCATCACATCTCAAATGTGTTACTTTTCTTCCTCTTTGCTTTCTTCACTTTCCAGCTCTCACATCAGTGGTGATGGGGAATATAATGCCTTGGACAATTCCGACTTCAGTCTCAGTTGTATACCTTTAAACTTTAGAATCTTGTTCTTTCATGGTTGCCCTTCCCCTTTTTAGCCTTTTTTTCCCCCTTGACTGCAGTCTTCATTCTGATCAGTGTTTGATCCAAGGTGTGGAAAATCTTTAACTTTTTTTTTATTTCCTCATTATCTAGGCTGAATTTATGTAAATCCTCTGTGATCATTATTTTTTGTTTTCTTTATGTTTAGTAGTAGGCCTGCCTTTTTGTTTTCTTCTTTGACTTTCTTTAGTAATTCTTCCAAGTCTGTGATGCTTTCCACTAGTAATATGGTGTTGTCTGCATATCTTATAGTTGATGTTCCTTTCTTCTATCTTCACTTCTCCTTCTTCTAAGTCTAATCCTGCTGTTTGTATGATATTTTCTGCATACATGTTGAACAGATAGGGCAATAAAAGGCAGCCTTGGCTGACCTCTGTTGTCCATTGTTTCTTCTCTTTCTTTTTGGCCACAGATAGTGTTTTTCTGCATTCATCCATGACTATTGTCAATTGGAAACCATTCTCTTTCTCTGTATTCTGTTCCTACAGTAGCCTCTTCTCCTAAGTACAGATTCTGCATCAGAACTGTCAGATTTAGTGGCATTCTCATTTCTTGTAGGGCTTTCATAGCTTTTTGTGGTCTATGCTATAATGTATAAAGCACGTGCTGATTATCTTCTGGAATTCTTTGGAGCACTCCATTATCCATCCTACATTTGCAATATGGTCCCTGGTCCCTCTTTCTTTCCTGAACCCTGCTTGCACCTCTGGGATTTCTCTCTTCATATTTGATTGGAGTCTATGAAGATTATCTCATTCTATTTAAAGTGATGTATCCCCAACAAGATAAGTCACATTTAATTTTTAAAACAGGTGTTATTGCACTCAGCTGCAGCTGGGTGAGTGCAACCCGTATGCAGCCCAGATCCCAGCCTCGCTTATCCAGCAGCTTTTCAAAAATGGGAGCTGGCTGTTTTTGAAAAGCCACTGGATAAGCATGGCTGGGATCTGGACTGCATACAGATTGCACTCACCTCACCACAGCTGAGTGTACTAACACTCATTTTTAAAATTAATAATAATAATAATAATAATAACAATAAATTTTATTTATAGCCCGCCCCTCTTCACAGCAATCGAGGCGGGTTGCAACATTTAAAACAAACCAAGTTAAAAACATTCCCTCCTCCAGATTACATTCATCTGTATCCTATCAGGGGTAAGTTGCTTTAAACAGAATGCGATAATCTCCTATGTTGCAGAATTTTGAGCATAATTTTGATTGCATAAGAAATTAATGCTATGGTCCTGTAGTTGCTGCAGTCTTTTTTGTGAGTGGGAATGTATGCTGATCATTTCCAATCTGTTGACCACTGTTTTGTTTTCCATATGTGTTGGCATATTGTAGTTAACACTGTTTCTGTTTGTATGGATTTAAAGCAATTCAATTACGATAGGATATCATCTGACCT